ACTGCCCCAGGACCGGTCGGCGTTAGCGGGACGGGGGCAACAGCCCGCGGCCAGGGGACGGGGTAGCCTCAGCGGCCCCTACACAGCAAGGGCCGTGTTTGGACTCGGGCACTGGCCCTCTCTCATGTCAACACTGGGGGACCCTAGTTGTCCCCACAGGCCGGGGTCCCACTGGGGTAGGGGGGTCCCCCCTGTGAGGTGCCGCTGCCCCCCAGGACTGAAAATGAAAGGATCCTTTTTTTTCAGGGAAAGGAACGTCTGGTAGTTGTGAAGTGAGTCCACTGGAAAACCCACCAACGCGCTTCACCCCGCACAGGTGAAATAGCTCCGGGTTCTAATGCGGGAGGTGTCTGGTTTTTGGTCAAATGTTCCTTAATATGTCTTTTAGCTCAAAATGCTAATGACTTTGTGCAGGTAACCTCAAATGAATTTTGGAAATGACAGTAATGCTCACCTTAAAGCCTTATGTTATACTATCTGATTAAAATATGCAGATCTATAGTTAGTTCTAACTTTGTTACTTAACAACATACGATGAAGGTTTATTTTAAGGCTGTTCCCAATTTTTGAGGATTGGTAGACTTAAAAAGAAAATTGGCAGATTTAGGGCAACACATCATTCCCCTGTAGGCGAGTGCCCTCTCCTATGGGCACCCCTGTACTGGCAGTGTTTCACGGTAAGGCCGTATCCACCAGGTACCGCTGCTGATTGATGAACAGGAGTGCTTGTGTTTTGTATGATGCTGTCACTTAAAACCTGGTGACATTTTTGCAGTCATCTTCAGCCTTTTATGTGACTTGTTTGTAATGCATATGTACATCAGACAAGCTTTATTAATTTTAAAGCTAAATTATCTACTGAAAGCAACCCAAAATTTACTTAGCGGGAGTTATTTTGATGTTTCAATATTTTTATGGTGAGTGAATGAATTTATACATAGGGCCTGGTCCTACAGAGTTGCATGTACCGTGTTCTCACACTATGGTAAATCCTCAGGAGGTACAAATTTATTGTGATACCATATTGAAACTTGGATAGCTTATAACTGCTAAAAGGCTGCTCTGTGAGGAGCTCTACTGCTGTATTTTATTTATTGAGTATTCCCACTGAAGCTGGAATGATATTCCTGTACTGTGTGAAAATAAGCTTGTTTGTCTTTGCAGCATTGGGACTAAAAATAAGACTAAAGTATTTTGTTTAACCTCATATGCAAGTGCAGGTTATCTGTTATTTGAATAAATAGAAGACATGGACTTACAGCCTTTTTTTCATTCGAGTACAGATGCAAGGTATGCTGTGGTATGTTTAGTCTCTGCTTTCTCTCAGGATCATGGTTTTGATATTTGAGATAAGGTTTTAAAGTGCTTTTCTGCAATGTTGCAATGGCCTAAATGTTCCATTTGTTGCTGCATCTGAAGGCCGCCTTTCTGCAGCCTCGCTTGCCCTGGCAAAACCTGGGCCTGTTTATAGCCACATTGAAATAAGCGTGCTTCTGTGCAAGCACGAGAATCTGCCTCTGAGGATGTGATTGCAGGACTGGGGCCTGAGACCTTCTGCTCAAATAGAGAAATCCTTGTTCAAAAGAATTCCAAAGATACGGAGCCCGTCTTGAAACTTGGGTCAGGAATAGCCATGTTTAGGAAATTATTTTACTGAAAACTATAGGAATGTGCTCTTAGCGACAGTTATGAATCTTCCTGCTTAACATCTTTTCTCTTTAGAAATTCTTTTGAAGTTTCTAAAATTCTTAGTCTTAAATGTTTGTTGTTTTTTAGGCTTTGGGCTGTCTTTGTCATGTTTTATTTAAGGTACTATTTATCAGATGGGTGAATCAGCTGAAATTTAAATTTTTGCTTAGATTCATTTTGTGTAGGAAAACAAAAAGAAGAACCTGTTCAATTTTGGAACAAAAAGAGTTATTTTCCTTCCTCTTAGTTATGTTTTCTGCTGTTGACTAAAACTTGTTACAAATCCATGAGTTCTCTAGCCATTATTATTATTAGGAGTAATACTTAAATTTAATTCTGTGTTTATTGCATTATATTCTGAAGCATAATCTACATTATCAGTATTGCCTAAAATATCCTGCTGCTTTTCTGTTGATATATTGGACATCCTTATGCAATATAAACTGCCTTTTTGCAGAGTTGAAGTAATAAGCTTTCTGAAAAGGCAGAATGAGGACAATGTTGCTGCTTCTGTCTTCCTAGGTAGATTTTAACGTATGAAAAAAAGTAGTCCAAAATATGATTCCAGGTGGTAACTAAAAACGCCTAGTAAGATGGTAACATTAAGTGCCTTGGTCAGTCAGGGTACTTGAATGTGTGTACAGTACCTTGGCTTGTGCAGGGCTCTTCAGAGATCTTCTGGAGTAAGGATTGTGCTCTAGTTAATAAAAGTGTTCCCTACAGGAACTCTTGTAGTTGACTTTGGTTCCTTCCCAGTGTTTTCTGCCTCAATTTGGATGCTTTTACTAACAAAAAGACTCTTGTTTCCAGAATTACAGCAGGCTTGGTTTGGTAGCTGAGCGTAGTAGAGAACTGAGCTGTTAAATGACCAGAACTAAGCCAAAGTTATGGTTAGATCACAGAATGGGGACAGAAGTTACAACTTTGTGGTGTTGATGTCAACCACAATCAGATGTGGTGCAGCTTCTCTTGATAGAACAGGGCGCTTCACAGAGAGGTACTGGTTGCCTAAAGTCTTTTAGTATGAAATAAAAAAAAAAGGAATGTTTTTGCTTTCTCTCTAATAGCATAGTTTTCACTAATAGTACCTGAAAGGTTTTAGTGTAAAGTAGCTTTAAGTGCATGCCTCTTTGCAATGATATTTATGGTCTGTGTTCATCTCTGTGTGGATGAAATTCCATGTTGCCCAGACATCTTAAAATCTATGTATTTACTGTTAGTTTCAGCAACAGGGTCAGACAGTGGCAACGCAGTGAATTGTTCTTCTTGGTCAAGTTGAAGAATGAACAGAACTACTATTTATGCTATTTGTGTTTGTGGAAAAGCTGAGGTTCTTGGAAATCTGTGTTCTGCTTCTGGCCCCAAGCTGATGGTTTTGGAAGCATATGTAGATGATTGTACCTTGTCTGTGAGATGTCATGAACACACCAAGCAATTTAACATGAAATCTGTCCTAGTATTAGCAAATGCAAAACACCATACTTAATACCTCTTTTTGTTTGGATGCAATGTGTGAAGCTCTGAGCTCAGTCCTCTTAATTATACATCTTTTAACCACCGACATAACAATTGCCTTGCAATTTACAATGCATTTGGGGATTCCATTGCCTAAAAGGGTCTTACGTACGTTGAATGTCAAGTTCTGAGCATACGTTTAAGAATGTGTCCAACCCACATGACTTTATATAGTCCAATATTTTTAGCACAGTGTTTTCTCAAAATTACTGGTTGAGTTTTGGGGCTATGATGCTTTGGGCTTTCTAATAGTGACTAGGCCATTAACTTCTCTGTGGACTACAGATGACGTCAGGTACCAAATTTCTGTGTGACATAATGCTGATATTCAGTATGGTCTAGCAA